CTTGTCTCAAATATGCTTAGTTTTTATAGCAAACAGTTTTCAATCATTCAATTGTTTGTCAGCATTTACTAGGAAAGTACTCATTTATTTTTCTAAACATTCAGTGTGTGCTAGTTTCTATGTTCTGAACAATGTCCGTTTACTAAAAAAGGAGTTTCGTTGTTGAAAACTTTCTGTATTTACTAGTACACTGAACGAGACTGCTATCACACTATGCGTAGAGTACAATTTTCCCCTCTACTATTTAAATAAGTAACACCATGGATGAACCAATGACAGATCAATAAACTATGTGAAGGCATGACCACTCTATTGAATGAGTGAACCAGGTGATTTATGATGAAACACAACATACGCCAGGTCATTAACCTTCTATATCTTGCTGCACAATATGCAAAAAAAAACACTTGTCAAATTTGCTGTATACCGGGGTAACTTTGTTATAGTATCCCTACGTGCATGTGAACACTTTTTGAGCTTTGGTTATACTATTCAACATACATGTAATCAATTGAAATCCCCAAAGTGCACGTTTCTCAGTAATATTTATAATCAACTTTAAACCTGATCAGTGACTTCGCATGTCTATACACATTTGACATAATTTGTACAAATAGATGAAATAAAGCTAGATATTTCATACGTCCCTTGGAGGTTTTCTTTGACGAAGTCCTGCTGGTGCATCTCAGTGTCAAGTAAACATCCTTTGTAGTGTGAACCACAACATCATTGCCTTTTACAGCAGACACAAACTAGATTCGTACAGGGAGATTGCAATACAGCAAGGGACTTTTCTAGTATCGCTATTTAATGATCAGTTGTGAAAACAATTTGCTGCATTTTCAAACAATCTTGCTTACCCTGGCGCAACTTGATTTTAGACCATTTTTATCTAGGTATGTACTCCACATTGTCAGTTTTCATTTATAGTAAACCCATGCCAAGGTAAAATCACATTTTGCTTACAGTTAACTCCAAATTGGATTTTGCAAAGGATTGTGGGATAGTAGTGTTTTCTATAGAATCCCATGTTAAAATCAGCTTTTTTTTACCTCTTACTTTCAAGCAATACTTTAGTTTCTTTTTTAAAGTCATATTGTTGGACTGAACATTAATTTTACTGGAAAGATTTACTGTTTTTGACTGCAAGTTGTCTTAATGTAGAAACCAGAGATGGGCAAGTGTATTCAATTTCTACTCATTCATACTTCAAAATACTTTATTTTTGCTGAAGGAACGATTCAGTGAAAATAAAATCCAGGAAATGTACATTTTTTTCTAGTTTACATTCAACTTGCCAAAAAACAGTGAAAATAAATTCCATACAAAACCAAAAAGTCCTTTCAGCAAAAATTAATTCCAACTAAAATAAAGTATTCTACAGCATTTGTTTCATTTTACTAAAAAATTTTGGCCAATTTTAAACCAGATTTAGAAGACATTTTGAAGCCCTTGTACACAGAAACAAAGTCCTACAACAAACGTTTCAGCTCACTGCCTCAAGATTTATCTTCGGTGACTATTCAAACAAGTCCTCGTTTTACTCCATACTTTTAACTGGGGTGTGAAATAAACAAGTGAACTTGCGGTCGATAGAGCTCTGCTGTTATTGACAAGTGCAGAGGCAGCTACGAGGTGGATAGGAGAAGTGGAATCCGACAGTTTAGTAATTGTGGTAATGATCACTTAGAAGGGCACATCCCGCAAGTTCAAACGTATTTGTTTATGTAATGCATGGATGGATGTATACTGTAGAATACTTTATTTTCGCTTGGAATTTATTTTCTCTGAAGGAATGATTCAGTGAAAATAAAATCCAGCGAATATACATTTTTTCCTATACTTTACATTAAACTTGTCAAAAATCAGTGAAAATAAATTCCACACAAAACACCTAGGTCTTTTCAGGGAAAATTAATTACAGCTAAAATATTTTACAGTAATTGATGTAGAGGAAACATGAAGGTGTCACCACTACCAGTATGTTTTTGATTACAAAGTTAAACATACAACCTTGAGATGCCTGCCTCGTAGATTTTGAGAGGCGTTTTAGTCCCACACTGTTCAGTATCTCCCACATAAAAGCGTATAAACCTTGACCTGAACATTTCTGGAAAACATTGGCCCATCCAGTTCATTTTGCCAAGAGGATGTGTACAGAGTAAGCCTAGCTTCCAAGTGATAGTCTACTGGAGCCCATGCACTATACATAGCAAATGCTTTGTATGGTAATGAAAAAAATAAAACCATATCGCCAAATAAACTTGAGGACCAGTCTACATTATGAATTTTAAAGCAAGGCGCCAAAATGAGCTCAAATTGCACTAAAATAGACACTTGGTAGACCGACAACATATGGACGAGTGTCAACTCATGAGCTCCGCTTGGTCATCTTTGATGACAGCGGAGCTAAAAAAACAGACAATAGACAGATGTATACAAACTACAATTTTTATTAACCTTGAAGAACTTCACATTTAATTCTGCCTCCTTCCACAACTGGATTAAAATCTTGTGTAAGTACTATTGTTCAGCAAAAAACTGAACAGAGGTCCAATACAAGAAATGGAAACTAGTGATCATAACCTAAAATTCCAGGCAGGGAATGGTCTGAATGCTGCAGTCTTGTACAGCTTCTAATTGTAGACCAACACTACCAAATTCTAGGGATCTATGCTGGAAGGTCCTTTAACAGTTCACCCCCCTCCCCAACTAATTGTTGGCACCTGTCTCAAGTAAGTTGAATATTGTGATCAAGCTTAGTAAATTGCAGGAACTGGGTAATGTGCAATGTCAGATGGTGGACATGGGCCTGTACCTACACAAGATCTTAATCAGATTGCTCCTTTCATGGCTTCTGTACTGCAACTACCTGTAAGCTGAATGGGTTAGAAGCACAACATCAACAGTATACATGATTGCACTCACTGTCTTGTATGAAATGAATCCAAATCTGGGATTATAACAAGGAAATTTAGGAATTTAGCCAAAACAATATATATTGGAACACTGCAATTGCTGCTGGTCGAGTAAAGCTTTTTTTTTAGCTTAAAACAACTTGCCGACATTAATATTTTACCCTGAGATGCATCCTGAAATCCTGATCCAAGGGCGCTCCTGATCCATAGCGAATTCCCTCCTATTTTCCTGGCCATGTGGGCCATAAATTTGTGCTGCTTTCCGAAATCCTGCGAAACTGCTTAATTTTTGTTTTTCGGTGTGTCTTTTACCGTTTTACCAAATTACTAAGGGATATCCTGATCCTGTTCCTGTCTCCGGCCATGATTGATCCTACAAAGTGTCCCAACATCTGTGACATCCTCTCCTGTTATTGGGGATGATGTCCTAACGGTTCCAACCTTAAATTCAAACAAGGAATCATGTTAGAAATTATACTGGAAGGTAGGAATGCAAAGTTTACTTTCGCAGCATGCTCCACATTTCTGATGTACTTGTATATAAACTTTTTTAGTGATTTAGTAAAATAATCTTGTAGACCCAAAACAGATTAATATAGCTGGAAATGAACAGTGGTGAGTAGCTGTCACAAAAATACAGGCCAACTCAAAACAATATCAGGCTTACCTCACTAACAGTAACAAAACATGCACAAAGGGAAGGAACAGTGAAAATGAATATTAGTGCAATTAAAAATACAATTTAAATACTATAAGCTCACACTGATCACATACTTCAGCTGCTACATTTATAGGATGGTACAATGCATCCTGGGATACTAAGTGTCTAGATTACAAGTTTTAATGTTAAACTGCACCATGGAATTTTCAGCGTACCATCAATACAAACTGAATCCAAACATGCTCCTTATGAAACCATCTCACATCCCAGGCTTTTTCCCCCGGCGAACATTCTTTTAATTCGCTGACACAGTTCCTAGTTTTCCTACTCCTGTGCCTGTGATTGCCTTGCTATGTGTAGCTCCACAGAAGCCAAATCTATAAGAATACATACACGTAAAAACATTTAATAGAAGAACACTATCACACTACTTTAAGCCCATAGTAAAGGGTGACATTAAACTTGGAAATATTTTCCCAGAATCCCCAAACTAGTATGTTGGTTGATAGTACTAAAATAACTGGGACAAACCTGCATAATACAGTATACTGAAATTAAAACCTAACTACTCATAAACATGCACAATTTTAATTCTTTGTCTGTTTGATAAATATTTCCTTTACTATTATATGAAAACTTGTCAAAATGCTGTAAGGTAAAGCTGAAAGTAAATATTTGCTTACTATACTGCCAATTGAATAGAGGCAGGTTCAAACAGTCCACAAAATTTTGGATTCAGAAAATACACAACTAGCTGGAAAATTTTTTGTATAAAAAGACAAACAATGGCCCAGTATTAAAATGAAAATTTCAAGGATATGCCCAACATGATAAGTACGATGAGAATCAACTTGTATAAAAAGATAGATATATCCATAATCCTTATCTGTGAATAAGAGTCAAGTTCATAAAACAATCGTACTGTCACAATAATATTCAAATAGGTCAACAGCATCATTAGATTGTCCACATTTAGGACCGAGATCTGGACCTTGAACGCCTTGGAGAATATCTTGGTGATGATCGCCTCCTCATTGGAGGAGAATGACTGCGGGATTTGCTACGACTACGAGACTTTGGACTGTAAGGATAATCTTCTTTTACTCGTATGTATGATGTTTCTCCCTGAAGATGGACAGATAAAATCATTAGCAAGTGACAGATAGCAATAAAAGACCCACCATTTGGTGATCTACAACTATGTAATTGAGTGAACAGCAAGATTAATCATAATCATATTTTAAGTACAACTATACAACACAATGGACAAATATTAGAAGATAATTTGATAAGAATTTGTCAGTGTTGACTGGTTAGATTATTAGAAGCTAGGTACAAATATAACTGTACAAGCTCACTTAAGATTTCTAGCAGGAAAACATGAAAATTCTCATGTCAAAGAGGCCCCCCCCAACCAACCAACCAACCAAGTCGGTGACCGAATTTAGAAACTAGGGAACAGAAATGTAATTTAATGCTGTGTTTTAATATATAACCAACAATTTCACCTGCCTCTGCCCCATAAAGATATGCCAAATGAAGATGCATGTCACAACAAACTAATTTTGAATTTACGAGCTTAACATTTACCTTGTATCCAACAAATGCCATTAAAATGTGACTAGCGTCCTCTGAACAATTTAGCAAATACTCACTTCATGTGACCTGAATTTTGTGTCATCAAGATGTTTTGCCGCATATTTCATGTCCTCGTAGCGTAGAAATTCCACAACTCCAGTACCATCTCTGTAGACATCAGCAAAACAAACGTCTCCAGCCTCTCGCATGTGGTCTTTCAAATCCTGCCAACTTCCTGTTGGAGGCAAACCTGCGAGTACACGATTTAAAATATATTAAATAGATCATTTCAGTTGAGTCTCTTTTTTAGTGCGCAACATTTCTGTATAATACACATACACTGGATTCACTGTTTTAATGATTTTAGTCAATTGAAAGTGTACATAAATGTTCATTTTTATGAATTAACCAAAACAAGCCACTTTAGTATGCAATATGCGAAAGAACACATACATAAAGCAAACTTGATTGTACTTACCTGACACCAGGCATCTATATTCTGATCTTCTTGCTGGAGGTCCACCACGTCCTCGCCCCGGACCACCACCAAGCCCTCCACCACCACCCCCACCGCCGCCACCACCACCTCCAATTCCCCTGGGAGGTCCACCACCGGCTCTTCCCCCACGTGGGAATTCAACACGTAATCTATAACCATCATAATCATAACCATCTCTTCCTCGAACTGCATCCTCTGCATCCCTACAAATCCAAATTTATATCTTTTAATAATACTGATTATACAATAACATTCGACAACTCAACCGATATTACAAATCTGATGACGGGGCTCGAAATTAAGACGCAGATTACCAAATCCTGTCCTGGGGCTACTATTTCTAATAAAGTTATCCGGAACCAAATTTCAATTTCTTAAAATTTTGTAAGTGGAAGTCGTCTTGCCGAGACACTAGCGCAAACCATGAATAATGGCTGTCTAACACAAAAATAACATTTATTCCATTGACACTTTCTTTAAGGCTGCAAGTACCTATGAAACCTTATGTGCTTTTATATAATCCCACAATAGGTTGACATCAGCAGACAAGTGAATATTGTTTTGTATCACTTTGAGCCACATTGATGCTTCTCTGGCAGTAATCACAAGGAAAAACCATTATGGGATTATATATTTAACACATGAGTATTTCCACAGTCCAAGAAAGTCAAATTGTAGGCATGGTGAAAATTATTGCTGAAGTAACACCAAACACATTTAAATATATCATTTCGCGGACCTTGTATGCTAAGGCCCACTTTACATTACACTTTTTCGTGACAGCATGAGTGCCGTGTAAAGAGAATTCCCGCTGTCATTAAATTTCCTCCTGAAACTCTGTGGTCGCCCGACAGCTTTGCACGTATAAAGAGAACGTGTCTGGCGCTTGACAGTGGGAGGTCAGGGTTTAGGTGATTAGCATAAAGCGAGCACCAATTAACGTACAAGGCGAGACAAAAAAACATGACGAGAAGAAAGAAGGTGATGGATGCTGTACGTGGTCTGAAGACGTCCAGACTGGAAAATTTCACCGCTGTCGCAAAAAGCATAATGTAAAGTGGGCCTAATTTTGTTGTTCCATTTTATTTGAACACCTTTACTCGTACACATATGCTCAAATTCGCTAAATTTTTTAAAATTTAAATCAATTTTTTGGCAAGGAACAAGTAATAATTCTGAAAACGCACATACGAGTTTGCCAAAATGAACTATTTTTACCAGATCATTAGTTTGCGTACGGTACTATAAACCAACCTTCATGCAGCATGTGCAATCAAAAAAAGTTTTGCAGTATGTGACGTCAAACTATGCAATATGCATTTTGTTATCTATCCTATTTTATGTCACATTGCGGAGATGTGCACATTTGCATGTGATGATACATAGTACTATGCGACTACCAGCTCGCAAAACTGGCAGCCTAGCAAACTTTTTTTTTCAGTTAATAGATTCGAGATATTGAATGGTCAAAAGGGGGTCACCATGGTTTCACATGGACATACAAACATGGTTTTTAGATCCCACCTACAGTGACATTTACAACAGACCATAAATGGAGATGGTCATAGTGCGGATTTCATGCGACGACCGTCACCTTTCAAATACAGCAGTGTGTGTACAAACATTCAAAATTATACAATCTACTTTTGTCACTAAAGTAATATTCAACATTATCTACTATACTGAACATTGTGACATTGAAAATAATGCTGTGCATCACTTTGAATCGATGAGGCATTCATGTTACGCTTAAAGTTCTTAGTTTTTATTTCATGTTCACATAGCCACCCCGAATGAATGCTACCACAAAGAAAATACAGATATCCAAATGCACCCCACCCCTACACATGCATGCATACACACACACACACACACACAAAACTGTCGGTGACATTGTATTAAAACGTGCATCGTTATTTACCTTTTATCTTCGAATTCTACAAATGAAAATGGTGGTCCTCTTCTGTTTTTCAAGTCAATATCCAGAATGTTGCCATATTTGTAGAATATATCCTCGATATCTTTGACCCGAATATCTGGCGGCAAATTACCTACGTATATCCTGCACTCGTTGTTTCCCGCTGGGCCACGCACCACACTGGACATGTTTCGTCAAGTTTAAACAAAAAAACGCAAATGAATTTGAAATACAGACAACACAGGTATGCCTTGACTTCTTGGACACTCTTCTTAAAATTACCGAGTTGGCGAAATGCTCGAAAACGTACAAATCGTTTACAGTCAAGAACAGCCTTCGAAACTACTAAATAAGGCCACGCGTACTTTCACGAACAACGCCGAACGTTACCGAAGACTGAGTGGCCGTCCCACCCATCATCTATTTTACCCTACATATGCTTAGGGTAGCTTGTTTTCTTTTAAACATATACGTGACGGGTGATTGTTAATCTGATTTATCAAACTAATTATTAATAATAGGAAACTATTTATTTTATATTTTTTGATAAAAAAGCAAAGCAATAAGTTGTAGCGCAAGGAATTGTGGGTTGATACGGGTTACCGAAGATATCAACCACATTTAAGCCAATCACAACAAAGTAAAGATCAAATTGACCAATCAACTAAGAGTTTGGAAGATTGAAACAGTACATAGACGACGTACGCTAAGTCAACTTCGTTCACTTGGTTGTTGATAGTTAGACATTCAAGCTGTTTGAAGGAACAACTTCTCATATTTGATATTCTGTTGTTGACGACCAACCGGATCAGGTAAATTTATTTTATACAATTTGTCTTCCCACTATACTGATATTTAAACACGCATTGATGCTCGTAATACCCATCTTCAATTTACTCTCGCTGCTCATGGCATGCATCCACAAATGCACACGCCTATTTAGTAAGATTTATTTTTTCACAACAACCTGTCCAGTTGAGGATTCTTGCTGAGAATCCTGAAAGTTAATACCGCTGCTAATTTAGTTTTCTTAGTTGGTATAAACATTGTAATGCCACATTTCTAGGCTGCAGTCAAAGGTTAAAAAAAAACAGGACGTGACTTGTGTGAGCGAATGTATTGGTTTCCATAGCAACGGGCCATACGCAGACTGGTTTTGGTATAAACAGTTTTGTACATGCTAATAAACAACTAAATAGATTAAATACGAAGAGATTCTGTGCATTTTACCGTACTGATATTTTCTCTGTCTCTATTTTCCAGATAACATCATGTCTGACAGAAAAGCTGTGATCAAGAATGCGGACATGTCCGAGGAAATGCAGCAGGATGCAGTTGACTGTGCAACTCAAGCTCTTGAAAAATTCAACATTGAGAAAGACATTGCTGCATTTATTAAGAAGGAATTCGACAAAAAGTACAACCCAACCTGGCATTGCATCGTCGGACGCAACTTTGGCAGCTACGTGACACACGAGACGAAGCATTTCATCTATTTCTACCTTGGCCAAGTTGCAATCCTTCTCTTCAAATCCGGATAAACAAGACACTACCTTAGCCAAATTTTGTTAAGCAAGGAAAAACTACAAAAAAAAGACTGTTAACAGATTTTTATATATTTTATGTATAAATATTAAGCTTTTTTTTCAAAACTGATGACTAAAGTAGCCATCAAAATATGTATGGTTATTTTCACGTCTCTGACTAGAAGTGATGTATATATGTACTTACCTCAAACAAGGAATCTTGATGAAAGCTGTGAAATGCTTGTAACATTGTAGCAAGATATGACAGACACAAAATAAAAGTGCTAATTATATTGAACTAAATGGTGTTTGTCTTGTTGCTTAGTTTTATCCATAAATGTTTAGCTAGTATTTTCTAATGCCCTTTTTGATCAGTGGCTCAACACCACCTATTCAATACTACGCAATTTTTTTTTCCCCAGCCATAACTGGCCGTTACTGGTTATGAAAGCAATACCTGCCAACAGGTGGTTTGAGTTGATATCACCATTTTAGTAGCCCCACCCAGAAGTCAATTTTGAAAAGCTGTTTACAATGTTTGATAGTGTGAGAATGTAAGTAGCGCATATTAGCTGTTGCTAATCTACCTACATGCTGTAACCATGGCTTGAACTTATAAAATTGCCTTGGGCTGAAATTGTAAGTGGAGGGGGGGGGTGTTATCTCGTACCTGTATTTTGAGCCTTGTGTGTCACCATGGCATATCATTTAGAATTTCATCACACCCAGATCCATTCACCCAGTAGAATCATTGCTCAGTGTAAGCAAAGATTAATTATTTATAGCATTTAGTAGAATCATAGCTTTACATTGATACCTTTGTTCAGTTTTGGTACTTTGCCAACATTTATGGACCTTGAGTCGAAAAGGATGGGCGTGTTTCATGCCAACATTTTAAAATCTCTAAATGTGGTGGCACACCTTTATGGTCTTAGCAGCTCTCCTTAACCATGGGAAGAATTTACTACTGTGGTTTTTTCAACAGTTAAGTAGCTCAATTGCCCATTGCATTGTAGTAGCAGAGTAATAAAGAAGCGTTATCGCCTCCTCTTGTCAGTGTTCCATTCATGGCCTAAAACATGGATACTAAGGCAATCAACAGTGAATACATAATCTTTAATATAGACAGTGTAAAACAAGATCAGACTTGCTTATGCATCCATGCTATGTGTTAATCATATTACTACTGTGACAATTGCCATTATTAGCATCTACTGTCCATACCACAGACACACACAACTGTCCCCTGGTTACCTGTATATCAACTGAGTTTATAGCATGTAATCATCTATTCAACTCTCACAGTCAATGCTAAACTTCAATTTGTTTATCACTGTTTTTGTACACACAAAAATAAAATGTCAAGTTACAAATTTTAACCTTGGTAGGTCTATTTATTGCACAAAGGTCAAGTTGTGAAAACTTGCTCAGGTATGACAATATTAGCATACTGACAATAGACATGTATGCAGTGTATTGGGTTTTGTCAGTGACTCCACCTGAGAGGAATGGAAATTTTAAGCATAAACATTGCAAAAAATATCTAGTTACCTGTCACACTGTGTTGTGCCAGGCTTTAAATGCCATGTTCCATATAAGTGTCAAACATCTCATTGTTGACCTCCAGAAAAATGTCAAGAGTGGTGCTTCTTTAAGTGATAATTATATACAGTATTTGTTTGCCATTTGTTATATTTGCCATGAAGTTAAAATAACCCTCTGCATGGTATTTATTGTCTCCAATGTTTGATGTATTAAAATAAAGCCCTAATTTGGTATAGGAGATCTCATAATACCTCTTATGTGTTTTTTTTGGCAAAAAAGCATGAATAATTGATCATTGTTGACGATGACTTAGATTTATGTGTAAACCTTGGAAAACTAATGATATACTGTGAAATGACTAATTCTCAGTGGGTTTAAATGTTCACTGATTTACCATTTCAGGCTTATTCAGTGGGTTTTAAATTCACGGTTTTATCATTTAGATAATGTGTTCTCCATGCTAAATTTTACATATTCACTGGGTTTTAATTTAGTGCATTTTCCAGTCAGCGAAATAAGCCAAATTAAAACCCAGTGAATAATTAATCCTTTTACAGTATGTAATTTTCTATTTCTATGTTTTTACCACACAAATGCATTCTCGAGTTAATATAACTACATGAGGATTTCAAGTTCACGATGTGTTAATGTCATGGTCCCATTAGGCTATCTTAATGTCCACAATGTACAAATAATGAATTTGCAATTAAACAAGTTGTGTTGTCATAAAACAAACATGCCTCTACTAGAATTCATCTTTAATAGTTAAACTCTCCATTGAAACCTTACTTTTATGGGGTACTGTGGAATACTTTATTTTCGCTGGAATTAATTTTCGCTGAAAAGGCTTTTTGGGCGTTTTGCTTGGAATTTATTTTCACTGATTTTCAATGAGTTTAATGTGAAATATAGAAAAAAAAGTATATTCACTGGATTTTATTTTCACGGAATCATCCCTTCAGTGAAAATAGTGAAAATAAAGTATTCTACAGTATTCCTTGTTCACAATTATTTTGTATTCATGTAAATATATTAATCACACTAACTTTTCTCTGTACTGTTAATTGTGAAATTTATCCAAGTAAGTCATTTTTATAATACCCTTTTCACCACCAGACTGTCTTGCCCAAACTTGTGTGCACTTTTTTCCTATATTTTCAGTTTTTACACAAAAAAATTGGCTATTTTTGTCCCACTTTTCTGAAGGAAAGTACAGACTATAGTCAAGACTATTTTGTGAATTTGTAATCAAAAGAGGGAACTAGTGGTGAAATGTAAAAGCGCGGTGGTCGTCGCGAATTTCATGTAAACAAACAATATATTTTACACACGTAGTATACGTCGCTATGAGTCTCATATCGAACAGGACGCGTGTCTAACATACTTATGATTCAGGTATTTTATTCAAATTTGGGTAAACAAACTATTTATTGAATCATGAACCTCAGTTAAAAATGGCTTAACACTAAGCAGAAATCACAAAGGCATTGTTTCCATGGGAACAAGTCGTCGCATCCCCCGGAATTATCTCCTTTTTTTCATTTATTTGATTGAATCTTTTGTTTTGCAAAATGTAAGGAATTTGTGCTTGTAAATGTTCTGCGCTTCTACTAACTAGTCCATCCTTGAAGGACTTTTGAAAATCAGACTTCAAAAACGACACGACCCATTACAACGAAATGTTTTGATGTTGTGTGTTGTAGACTGAAACACTAACTGTAAGTCATCCTATTTTATATAATGGCTACCCCCATTTGAAATCTGGGAGGGGGAGCTGGAGGATTTTAGAAACAAAAAAATATGTGGGCTGAAATCAAGAAGAGAAAACATTCCCTTCCAGCAGAAGTTAAAAAAAAACCTCTGATTAGGGTAAAAATCATATTCAGAGAAAAAAATCACTGCCACAGTAGTGTTAAAAAAATATGCAATTGACCAATTTCCTCCAGCTCCCTCCCCAGATCTTAAATAGGTCACCACTTAATTGGACTTTGTTACTGGTACTACAATAGTTAATAGTATGAATTGAATACAAATATAGATTCCTCCAACTGTCAACATTAGTAGATAATTTTAAACTCATACACTGTAAATTATTTTATAGTATTTTATTCAACACCATTTTACATTCAGTGGATTATTTTTTCTGGTGACATACGTAGTTTACATTGAAAGGCCTTAACAAAATATTACCTACCTGGAAGAAGAAAAAAAAACAGTAATGTGATTGTGACCCAGACAGTTTTTATTAACACACATACCTGCACCAGAACAGGAAATGTTGACCTTTGACCTGATTTACAACAGGTGTTCAAGTATATGAAATTTACATAGATTTCCAGTTTAGATGTATTTTATGAGCCTGTATATTTATGATCCAGACTAGCCTACCCATTTTACTGTCAGTTGGCTCTAACAAGAATATCTTTGGTTAAAATATATAATCATTGTTTTATGGCAGCTACAAATTTGATTTACAAAATAATCTGCAGATAATTTGGCTAAATTATTAAGTGGTTGGTATAGTGTAACAAATAGAGCACAGCCCTACATAATTAGTGGCTGATGTGAAAAAAGTTGACATCGTTCACCGTTCTACAATTGTGCATATTGCCTGTCTTTTTTTTATATAACAATGTGAATTTTGAACCCAATCAAGAACAAAAAATCTAATTTAATCTGCATAAGAAAAAAAAATGAAACATGACATTACCATTTTTTGATAAGTGACAAGTTGACAAGTTAACAGTTGACATGGTAGAGGGGTTAAATTGATAACAGCATTCACTACAGGTGAATTCCAAGGTCAAGGTCGTCTTTTTTTTTTCTGTTAGGAGCACATAATCGAAGCACATGTAAACCAAAAACATATCACTGTGTGCGTTTAGGATGTTATCGCTGTGTGTTCAGGATGTTATCACTGTGTGTTTAGGATGTTATCACTGTGTGTGTTTATGTTATCACTGTGTGTGTTTAGGATGTTATCACTCTGTCTGTTTAGGATGTTATCACTGTGTGTTCAGGATGTTATCACTGTGTGTGTTTAGGATGTTATCACTCTGTCTGTTTAGGAGGTTATCACTGTGTGTTCAGGATGTTATCACTGTGTGTGTTTAGGATGTTTTCACTATGTGTGTTTATGGTATCACTGTGTGTTTAGGATGTTATCACTGTGTGTGTTAAGGATGTTATCACTGTGTGTTTAGGATGTTATCACTGTGTGTGTTTAGGATGTTATAATCGTGTGTTCAGGATGTTATCACTGTGTTTAAAATGTTATAAGCGTGTGTTCAGGATGTTATCACTGTGTTTAGAATGTTATAAGCGTGTGTTCAGGATGTTATCACTGTGTGTTTAGGATGTTATCACTGTGTGTGTTTAGGATGTTATAATCGTGTGTTCAGGATGTTATCACTGTGTTTAGAATGTTATAAGCGTGTATTCAGGATGTTATCACTGTGTGTTTAGGATGTTATCACTGTGTGTGTTTAGGATGTTATAATCGTGTGTTCAGGATGTTATCACTGTGTTTAGAATGTTATAAGCGTGTATTCAGGATGTTATCACTGTGTTTAGAATGTTATAAGCGTGTGTTTAGGATTTTATCATCGTGTGTTCATATAAAAACAAATGTATATATATTCATGGTTGACTTTATTTAGCTTCTAATTGAATAATTGATTAAATCAATAATTTTTTCAGACATAAAACAATACAATTTATTGGTAAAACGTACATACTTTTTCAAATAGGTAAAAAAAAGTACTTGAAATAAATGCCATTACATTTTTCTGGTAGTTGTTCACTGATAATAGTCTGATATCCTGACATGGTTGTTTTTAATGACCTGTCAAAGGAATCACTCAGATACAAGCCACTTAAATAAGTTGCATTCGATGGTCCATGGTGTAATAAGTCACTCTAAGCATGTCAGGCTAGGGTAATTGAGTACTTGGTAATAAAACTAAACTCTGCATGTATCCCATAACTAAAATATCTAACATTCAATCGGTATGCTGATGCACTGTCATGATTCAGCTGAAAAGACAGATAGATTTCAGGATGAGGTAATCAGATCAGGCAACATGGATAATTTTCAGTCTGCTTGCACGGTTTCGTTTATTGTGAGACTTTAAGCTGGAACATTATACTCTGAAAATTCCAGACTGTTTGATATTATGTAGTACATGATTATCATAAAACTAAACCATCAAGAATGTGCAGCCCCTTCTGTATTTGTACTTTAGTAAATGAAATGTTGCCATTTACATGCTCCTTTTTGTACAAGTGCATAAAAGTTCATGTACTAAATGTCTTGCACTGCAAGACAACTTAACATGTGTGAGTCTCCAATGTCTATATTGACAAAGTGTTAACCAAAATGGCTGCCAGTTGGTCATCGTGGATTGGATTGTGACATAATCAACACAAATCCAGACTGTTGAATACATTACATAAATAGAGACAATGTAATGCTACTTACAAGATTGTGCCTGATTGGCTACCCAATCCTAACATCTAACAGACAGACCAATCAGAGAGCAGTTTTTTTGGTGACAGTTTTTTTTTTGACATATCAAATTCTGCCTTGTATATATGATTTGACTCAACTGCCCAAAATCTTTATAAATTCGCTTTGTTTCACACTGAATTTGTGTTAATTTTTTGTTTGGAGTACTGGTGATGGTGGCAGGTACAGACATTTTTTAGAACCCTCTCCCCAGCTCTCCCATAAAAAAATTATTACTTTCAATATATAGATCCATTTGTCACTTCCCCCTCCTCCCTCCCCTAAAAAACCATACACATAAATTAAAAACAATTGTACCTAGATGCAGCTTGTCAAATAAATACACATTTGGCCTAATATTTCATTATCTGGGGATAATGTGTTGGATTATTGAATAAATATGTTTAAACCAACATAAGTGTAGTGTTCATACAGATTGCTCACTCTGCCATGGAAATCCTGTCTGTACTGGACGCACCACATGTACAGTAGCTGAGAGTACTTCAAACATCTAACCAAGCTTCTTTAATGATACGCCTGCAGGAAAGTCATTATTGAACAGAAGCAAATAGTAAATACTTCATATTTGCATCTGTTTTAGAAGCTGGGAACCTTTTATAGTATATCATTCTGCATCATAGTTTGAATCCAGAATATATAGCCACAATACCCATATTTATATCTTCATGATGTACTTTTCTAAATCCAGTTTCTTCCATTAGTGTACTGAACTGCTCCTATCAATGTAACAAAAATCATATTAGTGTATGTTTCAATTATGGGGTATTTACAGTTACTGTTTTAGCTGAACATAGTGAAAAGATTGATAGGTTGCCGTAACTAACAATTTGTGTCAGACCAGGGTAATCTTCAAAAGCAGAATATTAAAGATATTACCAGTAGTTTGATATAGTTTTTGTGGAATTTATGTACCAGTTACTCATGATATCTGTTAGGGCAGTTCTGAGAATTATTTGGACAGTCAGTCTGCAAGATGGCACGCAACTTTGCGAAACACTTGCCATATTTGTTTTAGACTGAATGCGTTACTTGACTGATAGTGTGCTGTGTGGGATTCAATATTTCTTGGTGATTGTCAACATGATGATTTGCTATCTAGTGTACATATTCAATAACTACTCTTCATTTCTTGAAGTGATTGAATGTAATTCAAGAATGTTAAATCAAAATAATATGTTCGTGTATTCTAACAAACACACAACATTTTGAAAAACTGCACTCTACCTTTGTCTAGTATGATAATTGGAAGATCTAAACTGTACGCATGTCTATGGAATGGTGTCATCAAGCAGAGATTGGACAAAAATGTGTTTTGCAAAGTTGCAAGTCATCAATTGTCAGAATTGCTGTAATGCTATTTGCTTCTGCATGATATGCACATCATCCATGTTGTGTAACTTTACAACTTTCTGTGATGATTTGCAGCAATAACAGCATTTCAGGTTATTTGCATATTCATACATTCTATGTAATATATCTAAAATATGAATTCAAATTCAAGTACCCATAGAGTCTGCTTAGTGACTGCTGGAGAGGTTGGTCTTCAGAAAAAATGTTAAATTGTATCGACTCTATAAGTGATTTTAGGCACACACAAAAAAATTTCCTTTGTATTTACATTTATTTTGTTTATAAAATGTGAATTTCATTTTACAAAATTATGAATCCCATAAATATAGTATCGGTAAGATGTTTTTTCAAAATTACTATTATAATGTCAACGTATGATTTTTTTGTTACATCAATGACGTGCCAGTAAATTAGCATAACGAGTTGTGTCACAGCAAATCTTTGCGTGTCAGACAGTGGTGTGTCATATAAGCTTAGAGGGCACACTGGTGGTTCTAAATTATTATTATCATTATTGCACCTGTAAACCATAAGTAAAAGATGAAAATAAGTCTAGTAATATTAGTATTTTTTTTAAATGAATTTGTGAATAGAGGTTTACATTATCTGTGATAATGTAAAGCTATGACATCATAAAAATCACTAATTCTGTTAGTGGTATTATATAATATTTATTAAAGTGTAATTACACACATATTATTACAAATCATCTAATAGATTGTTTGTTTATTATTAAAAGTGACAACACTAAAAGTAAAATAAATGACCACCATATATGGTAAATAGATATGCTAAATCATTTATTTCAGTCATGGACGGCGGTAGTGGTCTGAACAGAATCATTTTAGAGACGTCCCCTTACCCTTATGAATGCAGTCATTTTTTTCCTACCAAAATTTTTGCATTTTTTTTATGTATTTTTCTATAATTTTTTTAAAACATTTTGGGCCAAATAATTTCCCACTGGCTACACATCTTGATTTATATGGAATTTTTTTTTTATTATAATGAGAAAGGTGACTTTATGTTACACCAGATGACACATGTTAGCTCGGATATACAAGCAATATAAACATTAGGTGTGTGTATGTAATCCAGAATGCAGTCTCATTTAGGACAGTTCCAAGCATGTGATTATGTCTGCTATTGACACAAGACCAATATAATTAATTTCCCACAGGTGACTGTGTTCAAATTTTACTGAATTTAATCAATAATATTTGTTAAGCATTATTCACAAACAATCAACAATATTTGTGTGTGGTCTCAACAATGTAAATTTGTACACCAGCTTGAGAAAATTCCAGCTGATCACAAACCAAAAACAACCAAATCATGTGCATGACAGATCATGAACTATTTAGCATGTAAATAATTCAATCTGACCTGGATCTGAAAAAATTAGAGGTCTTCCACAAAACTTTTGTAGAATTTACCAGGTATTAGAGGCCTTGTTTGTATTGTTTATAGACAGCTTCATTGTAATCAGTCAGCTAGTGCATGTTCATGTATGGGGGCGTGTGTGTTGTTTCTACGCCCCAGACACACATGCCTGCTGGCTGTGATTGTAATATTTGATTTTAGGTTCACGACCTGTTTGTAAGATTTGATTTTAGGTTCGGGACCTGTTTGTAAGATTTGATTTTAGGTTCAGGACCTGTGTAATATTTGATTTCAGGTTCAGGACCTGTTTGTAATATTTGATTTTAGGTTCAGGACCTGTTTGTAATATTTGATTTTAGGTTCAGGACCTGTTTGTAATATTTGATTTTAGGTTCAGGACCTGTTTGTAATATTTGATTTAAGGTTCAGGACTTGTCTGTAATATTTGATTTTAGGTTCAGGACCTGTTTGTAAGATTTGATTTTAGGTTCAGGACCTGTTTGTAATATTTGATTTAAGGTTCAGGACCTGTTTGTAATATTTGATTTAAGGTTCAGGACCTGTTTGTAATATTTGATTTTAGGTTCAGGACCTGTTTGTAATATTTGATTTTAGGTTCAGGACTTGTCTGTAATATTTGATCTTAGGTTCAGGACCTGTCTGTAATATTTGATTTTAGGTTCAGGACCTGTTTGTAATATTTGATTTCAGGTTCAGGACCTGTCTGTAATATTTGATCTAGGTTCAGGTATATTCACTGGATTTTATTTTCACTGAATCATCTCTCTGGCGAAAATAATGAAAATAAATTCCAAGCGAAAATAAAGTGTTTCACAGTAACTATGGCAATCAATTCATCAAATTACTGTAAAGCACTTTATTTTCACTTGGAACATAGTTTTGCTATATTCGCTGAAGGGATACATCAGTGAAAAAATATTTTCCCCCTTGTTTTTTCATTCAACATTCTACAGCCATAATGTTTTTTCAGCGAAAATTAAATCCGGCTAAAATTCAGTATGTCAGATCATAATAAATTGACAAGCAACAAGAGTTTTGTCTCGATTAATGTGGTACTGTTGACAGCTCATTAAAAAGGTGAGAATGAGATTTTACTAGTACTTAAACCACTTCTATTGCATGAGAGACAGGGGGGGGGATTTTGCAGCAGGGAGCATTCCACTGAGGTTCTTTATGACACAGTCAGTTATTTTTAAGGAATATCATCAGTAATTTTTTTATTACAAATGATATGCAAACATTTGAAGAAATAAAAACTCTTAAAAATATGAAATTTTCTTTCAGTACAATGCACGTGTGATTTACTAAAATTGGCTCTTTTTTGTCCTAATTAAATTTGTTGTATAAATAAAATGTTGTATTTTCATGGAATGTAAAAGTTTTCAATTTTTTTTTTTCTCTGGAACATGATTATTAATTCGTGTGTAACACGCAGACAGACATTATGACAACATCACACGGCTCCCTAATAGTGTGCAGACAACGATATGAGAGATGTCAAACATTTTATCATCTTCTATTTAAACCCTTAAAAATATTTTATTGAATATGCATGTCATGGTATGAGTTTCAAATTTATCTCTTCTAAACAACACTACAGGAAAATATGATTCACATAAATAGTGCATTCAAAACATGATAACATGAATATTGATTTCTTACGATGCAATGATCATGAAATATTCATTTCAAAAAGCGATTATTACAATGTCAATATTTTATATTCCTGATGCTTATAATGCACAAATTTAATAAATATCATGAGATACGAATAATGCCACAAAACATTAGTCATGTTATTATTTACCCATGTAAATTGTTTAATTTAAACAAAAAGGTATAAATAAATAAAAAAACTGACAGATCTATATCGTATGGTTGTTGAATATTTGCCTGCATTCACACAGTAAACTAGTTTGAGATGACACAAATGTTACAATGAAATAACACGATTATAAATTTCAATAGCATTTTTACCTGTTTCATGACAGACAACGTTCTATTGTTACATCATTTTTTTTATTTATAAATCAACATAATCCTTACAAATGCTGTTTTTCATTATAATATCGTACGTTGACTGCCGATGAAATGGCACTTTCTCATTGGTCATCATAAGTATCAGATGATCACCAATCAGTGCTTGAGGTCAATGCATGGTCACCTGACTGACACAATTCACATCATTTGATGATGATTGTCATAATATTTCCCATATTTGGAGATATCATCAAATCTACGAACCCACTGTGATTCTATTGCATAATGTGGAACATAGAACAGTAAAAGTCAAACATTTCAAAAATCAGTCACATTATTACGGCTTTGAGTGTAGATCAATGTCAACACCATACATGTACATGACAATGACTGTATTATCAGCGTTAATTTTTTCTGTTTGTCTGAATCAAGTGTCTTCAAGAATGGTCATTATTTTTCCAGTTGGTAATAACTGACAACAAGGTAGTGTTTAAGGTGGCATCCTTTGAAAACAAAGCTATTGGCAACATTTTCCAAAAACTCCCCTCGTTTTATTGTGTAGATGTTTTTTTTTTTTGGACAATTGCTAATAATTAATCTCTATCATTATTGATAAATTTTGATTGAAGAGATTCTGACATCGCAAATAGTTTTCATTCAAAAATTTGATTCTGCAGTTTTGAAAAAAACAATCATATAATTAATGACGTACTTTGTGGAAATTGACAACAATAGACAACTGTAGTGAAAAGAAGTAGCATACTAGAAGTAACATTTTTGCACACAGTAATTGAAGGACTCCCCCCCCCAAAAAAAAACAACAACAACAAACAACGAAATTATGTTTGCATATCATCCAATTCACACAGTTTCACTGAAGCATGGTCGTCCCTACCAAACCATGTATAATCTTGTTAGAAAAAGCTGTATTTTGACCTCAGTTACATAGAATTTAATTGAGCATGACAAGGAGCTGGATTTAAAAAACACCAACTCGCAATGGATTTAAAATTTAACCGACAAAAAACCCATGCGACTTTGTATTCCAATTACCATGGAAATGCATCACATCACACGACTTTGTGTTTTAATTACCATGGAAACACGCCAAAGCATGCACCGCTGTGTTTGACTTCATCAACAGTGAATACTAATTTATAGTGCTATTTCTGCCAAGGTATGATGGTGAGGTGAAAACCAAATAAATGCACCTTGGCTGGCGAACATAATGTTTGCTATGCGCATGTTGTAATTATCCATGGCCTAAAATATTTACACTATTTTGAATATTCTATTTACCGTAAAATACTTTATTTTCGCTTGGAATTAATTTTTGCTATTTTCGCTGAAGGAATGATTCAGTGAAAATAAAATCCAGCAAATGTACCTTTTTTCCTATAATTTTAGATTCAACTTGCCAAAAATCAGTGAAAATAAATTCCATACAAAACACCAAAAAAGTCTTTTCAGTGAAAATTTATTTCAGCTAAAATAAAGTATTTTACAGTAGTATTCATTTCAGAGAGCAAGATGAATAGTAGCAACCATATTAACTTACTGAAACTCAACTGTGAACTGATTAAATTAAATTTATCAGATTAGCTAAAATGCCATCAAAAGATTCATTTCTGGTGCACATGTGCCTCTGTGTACTGACTGACATTGACTTTGCCAGTTTAATTCACTATTAATGTAGCTAACACGACACAAACTAAAATCACAGTTAAACTCTTCAGTGCTTCTCTATGAATACAGTATATATTAATATCAGTGAAGGTGCAATGGCATCAGAGGTCAAAGGTAAGGCCATTGACAGCAAATGTTAAAACATGTACATGTATATGCATTTTCTGATAGAAAACCTATTGAATATTCAATTAGATCTTAATTATTCACTTCTAAAGAAGTCTATAATGCACCAAACCTAGCTATGTAGTAAATTTGGTTGAAATCGATAATGTGGTTTTATAATTACACTGAAATGAAAAAATTTATATGCAAATAACCTAGTACTTAATATGTGCGGACATGTCTCTAAAATACTGTCTGCACCTTACCACAAAGTATCTATGTACCGAATTGGATCAAAATTTGTTCAGAATTTTTTGAGATTTTGCTTACACAAGCTGAAATGAGAAAATTAATATGCAAATTCGCTACTTAATATGTACGAATATGGCTCAAAAACTAATCATGTCTGCATTTTACTCTAAAAAATGAACCGTATTCTGCCGTAAATTCGCCCTGAGTCGTTAAATGACAGTTTGGGTTTTTTGAAAAAATAAAATGGAACTAAGAAATCAGCGATTTTTCGGCAGTTTTTTAAGGTGTTATTTTAATCTTTCTTGATGCCTAAGCGAGGGTCTAATTTAAGTTTTACCGTAGGCATTGATGCCTATTCAAGAGTATTATTTTATTGTGACTAGTGTGAATGGGTATCTTCGTTTCGAAAATGAGCTGTTATCACTGTAAACAATGTTAGATTATTTTTTAAATGCTCAGTTTATATTTTAAAAACAAATTATGCCGTTTTCTAATCAAAATCCAAGCCAAAAAATCGTACTACAACATCGGCAAATCTTTTCTGCGTTGCGTTCAATAACATTAACATATTTGAATGAGCTATGGTTGGCATCGTCCATAGACTGTTGTGACTAATAAAATTTAAAAAAATAATTGTATTTGGTATACCAGGTTTTGAGAGAAAGATGACACTGGGTGACATTGTGATGAAATTTTATGTCATTTACTTTTTATTTTAGCAAAACAAAAAAAATTTAGATTAGCTTCTGCAATAGTTTCTTTTGTTTTGTGTCCAACAACCGGCATTGAAAGTCAACATATGTTGATTTTTCAATGAAAATGGAAGTCCCAAAAAAATAAGGACCCACCAGCCATGAAATCGAATTTTTTGTATGGGCCAATTTATGACAGAATCTGGTATATACTGGTAAATTTGATCTAAATCTGCTCAGAGGTTTTTGAGGATTTTACAGACAGACAGACAGAATTATTAGGGACAACATCAAAAGTTCAATGTAGGATAACAAACTTAACTCCTTTAGCCACTAGAACTTAATTGATAAATATTGATTATGGCGTCAGACTACATTCACCATTAAATACAAATTGATAATCGGACAGTAGTATGGCATAGCAGTTGGTTGTCGGGTGGGTGTAAAAAGACTTTACAAATGAACCAATAACAAAAAAAAACATGCTTTATTTTGTACCTTTTTTAAGAAGTACATTTATTTTACAAGGGTAGGTAGTACAACTCTCGCCCAAAAAACCCAGCCATCAAACCTTCAGCCATTCAAGAGGAAATAATGAAGGGGAATATGAGCATGCGCAAAATAGTTTTCTGGGTTCTGTTCATGCTCTAGGTCCATGCCCTGAAATTGACCTCATTTGCCGCACATATTTACACTCGGACCAAACCATTTTCTCGTCTTGGATTTATTTGACTTCATTTAAAAATAAAATAATTTTTGTAGGATGGAAACTTTTTGAGGTCTATCCCCCCCCCCCCCAAACTGAAGCAAATAAGTTTTTCATCTGACATCGATCTTCCCTTACCTACCATGTAAATAATAAAATAGAAAAGCCTGATCAAAATAATTCATGACCTGAATACTGTAAACTACTTTATTTTAGCTCAAATTAATTTTTGCTGAAAAGACTTTTTAGGTGTTTTGTATGGAATTTATTTTCACTGATTTTTGACAAGTTGACTGTAAAATATAGGAAAAAAGGTATATTCGCTGGATTTTATTTTCACTGAATCATTCCTTCAGCGGAAATTAATTCCAAGCAAAAATAAAGTATTCTACAGTAAAATATGGTTGTCACTAGATACAGTAAAAGATATTAAAGTTTATATATCATAGGAGATAAACAACATATACAATGTACCTAAGTAATTGAGATGGCCCACTCTATGGCATATGTTGTAAAGTACAGATTCACACAGTGAAGGAGGGATCAGGTGGATTATCAATTACTTCTGAATAAATCAACTCAACAGAGGTCATAAATTATTCAGTCTCTTAGTGCAGACATGTCTGACATAACATTGCAATACTGCCATGTCAACATATTATAAATTTGGCTGTAAGCTCAGTGACTGAAGCCAGTCATGTCTTTTAAACCACTTCATATGAAGGTACCACTACCACAATTGAATGGACTCACACATAAAGGTAACAGAAAGGCCAGACAGGTTTTGACACTCTCAAGGAATTTTCTATTATTTATTTATTACACTATTAAATACAAAATCTACACAATTTCAGGAAAACTTGGTCAAAAATTCTTTTTATGTTGCCAAATCACTAAATTACGAATAGCAGTACCAAGAGAAATCTCAACAAAATAAATCTATATTTTGGGCTTTTTATAATAATTTTTGACTTTTCTTTTTTAAATATATGGTTTTGTCATTTTTTTATTGTGAAAGCCGGACATAGATCTGACCAGCTCCTATGGATGATCTTGTTCAAATCTGAACATATTGAACTTCCCTGGAAATCTTGTATATACATTATAGTGCCAATACATTCTGGAATTATAACATTATCGGATTGGTTGAGTAATTTATTTTAACCATCTCACTAATGAGATTTTTGATTGGAGTAAAACCGACAAAAGTTGCAATACTATTTCCATCCCATTTTAATCAGACTATTCTAAAAGCTTAAGCAGTAGAACCAAACCTTGACGGGCCAATGTGGAGAGATCACTGCTATTAACTCAGTTTCTTTGATCTTTGGTAGCATTGGCTCAATCAATGAAAAAAAATGGAATGCATAGACAGTACATATACTCATTCATTCTCATTCAAACCAAAATGGCATTGCATGGCAACATCATCTCATCTGAATGCGGAAAGTGACACCAGGAAAATTGACATTCCATGAAGTTACAGATAGTTTAATGAGCATAAAGTGTCAGATATAGTCCTACAATTGTGTTCAATATCCATGGTACCTAATCAAGATTATACCTATTACATGTAATTTTTATAGTGATTTGTAGTTCATGATATCAGACATCATCAATTCTTTAACCTATATTATATTATATTATATTATATTATATTATATTATATTATATTATATTATATTATATTATATTATATTATATTATACTTCATTATAAGGTTATTACGAGAATACCTCAAAGTATGCACAAAGACAGTACAGCTGGAGTATTGACCAACGCGCAACGGAAGTTGATGCGAGGCACACTGTCTGAGTGCATACTTTGAGGTTTTCTCATAATAACCTTATTATTATACATCTTTTCCTTCCAAGGATATATTAAATCCTAAACCATTGATCTTCTTAAATTGAAAATTGATCAAAACACATACAACTTAGGGTCATGATTCAAAAATTAGTTCAGGTAGATACATTTTTTTACAGTATTAAAGCAGCAAGTCAGAAAATTTGCTCACTACTGGTAAATCAATGAACACTTTGGCTTGACTAAATGAAAAAATGTAGTATCATTGATAATATTAAAATTGCTATGCTCGTCACTTTACGTCATATTTAAAATTGGTCTTTTGGGACATAAAAAACACATTGTTTGTTTTAAAAAACTCTAAATGTACATTTCACACTGACAGTGACATATGTAAGATCTTGACTCACCTGATTGTAAAATGTTCTTATACTTTCTACTAAATACTTGTATGATTTCCAATCGGCAGCAAAAATCTCTCCCAAAGGTGGAATGACTTGCAGTGAATAAGCATCATACAAACTACAAATAAAATGAGAGAAAGAAATCCGGATGGATGTTTATCCAAATACGGTATGACACTCAACATTGCTAGTAGCTAAAATACCAATTGGATTTGAACAAGTTTAAACAACCATTTCATAATTTTTCTTCTTTTTGGTTGTTGTTAAAAGCAGTCAAGCTACAATTTGTTAATGATGTGCGGGTCTGTTTTCATTTTAAACAGTTAGATTCATAAACTTCCCTTTGACAAAACTGTGATTTCCAAATATGGAACATTTTCTGAAAATTGTCAGATACGTTGAATTTCATGCAATAATACAACGATTCCTGACCGGTCTAGAAATGTAGCAATGAAA